GTAAGAATTTACACTTTTTTACTATGTTCCATCTGAATTCACTCTGACACAGAAACATCTATATTGATTTTGACACTTCTACATCCATCTCACAGATGTAACCTTGCTTTGAGAAAAAAGATTATTAATTTAACCCTTTTAGAAGTGAAGTTATAGTCATTTGTTCTGGGCATGTCATTTTCGAGCCTGAAACCTGAAAAACAGGCTTGGGGTCTAACAGGTTAAGGTCCATGTACCAAAGCATACCAATGTTGCCAACGGGCAAAATACCATCTCAGTCCCAAAACAAGAGGATACTGTTGATGTACTAGCATCACTCTATGCTCAAAATAAATGAAAAGAAACCTATCCTAATGCATTTACAGGAGAACAGAACTCCTTAACCTAAACTGTGACTTCTGTGCACTGTTAAACCCATATGCTAGGACATGAAGAATCATCCCGTATCAAACTACACCTACAATGCTGTTGTCCTTAAAAAACACTGGTAGTCCCAACCTTGAACTCACCACTTCAACATCACAATATGATGGATCACATTTCAGTCCATCTAAGTTTTCCAAGTAGCCCCACAGGACTCTGACTGGCACACCAAGGCTTCTAGCCTCAGCAGAAATCAAAGAGTTGCATCTCCCAGCTGTGTGTTCTGTCAGGGTTCAGATCAATATCTTAGCACCCAAGAAACAAAAAGCAAGGGTGATATATGTCCCACAGTGCAGCATAAAAAACATTACCACTCTACTTGATGCGACAGTTAAGGTCGTTACTGTGAATCAGCTGAATAAATAAGATGTACAAAGCTGACAGACAAGCAAGTACTTAAGTCATAAAAAAGTAGTACGTCAAGAAGGACAGAAATGTTACTGTGAAAGTGTTTAGATGTATTGACTTTGGATGAGGCGTTTTCATGTGTGAAAAAAGCAAGGTGCATTGAGCAGACTTGCTATGCACGGGCCTGAGAAGATGTGTTGTCGGAGGATGAGATTCAAGCCAGCCCGAGGGAGCATTCAGTCAGAGGATACTCTCCAAACACTTGCACATTCATTTTCTTTGTTGTCTGTAAAGTGGCATGTCTAGAGGCTTAGAAAATGCATTAAGTAGGTGTACCCAAACGAATAACATTTAAACTGTGTGGTGCACAGCGTGATTGTTCAGCCAACTTCAAAGGGCTTTAAAGGACATTGGCAAAAGGTAGTGGTCACAGTCTGCCTCTCGTGAAGCAGCTCTAAAACTCTCTGTCTGAGTGCATCTGAACCTTAGCTTAGCGCATAGCCTGTCTTACACTCACTGGCAACTCAAACGTCAAGAGTACAATGTTGCAGGTTCCCTCTTTAGAGTCGGGTTGAGATATTACTTGTGGCAAACTGTGAACGTGACCTTTCCATACATTTATTTTGCAGTTATCACAGATGTTGACTGCTCTGCTGCAGATGGCAGACCTCCCTCCAAGCACTCACTGCACAGAGTGGTTTCAACTATCTTGTTTTGGCAGTGTGCACAGCTGCAGAGCAAACCAGGGAAAGGAACACATGTAAACACGTACAAAATGTATGTTTTTTTTACATGCACCTGTATTATTTTCTCCTACATTCTACATTATCTTTCTGAACTAGAAATGTGATTTGTTGTATGTATTTATTATGACATTGTTTGAGTGAAATAAAGGACATTATATGTAAAAGTAAATATAGTGGTGTGAGGGTTTTATTCATAGATGTACAAGAAATGTTTGGTTCTGTCGTGACATTTAGGATAATAGATAGATGCAGAATGAATGCAGGTTACTACATATGAGAGGCACAATAATGATGGCTTTTCCAGTCACATTCAGCACAGGGTAATTGCTATTTCCATGCTAACCTATCGAAATAGTGAAATAAATATTGCCGCTATAGCCACAAAACTGAGGCACAGTACTACTGCACTATACCCAAACTCATTCTAATGTTGTAGACTACATAGGGTGATTGCTTTATGTTGGTTACTAAATTATAAATTCATTTTCACAAAACTCATGCTGGAGTAAAGTATGTTCAAGGTCACTGCCCTACTGTAATGTTCTCATGTACTTTCTGTGGACTGCAAGTAAATGTCTGACAGTCAATGCCTCGATGCATCCTGACACTCTACGACCAAACGTTAATGACACTTTATGATAGATGACTCCTTATCTGTTTACCCATGATGCACTGGGCCATCAATCACCAAATTATTCAACGATGACAAGGGGCTGACTATCAGTAGCGTGGCAGACATCATTCATATCTGTAACATCATCTAATTAAAAGACATCACTTCTGCCAGACAGTTGCCTCACTGCTGGCTGAAGCAAATTGATTCTCAACCCCCTACTAGTCTATGCAAAGGAGAAATGAATAATGCATGGATATTAAAGTCTTATCTTCTGTCCTGACAAACAACGCTGCCACGCTTTGAATATTCTACAAAGGTGTGCGAAGGGTCCTTATTAGCAAAGTAGTCAGACAGGTACGGTTTCATGGGGAGTCACTCTGTGTTTACTGCTGTTCGTTTCCGAGCAGAGACATAATTCTGGACACTGGATCACCTGATTGACTTTATGGCGCTGCTCATTTTACAACAGCACTTAAGGTATCTGATGAATATTTTTATAGCTGCCACTCACAGATTATGCCGGCAATATAATGAAAAAACTATAACTTCTGGCCACAGGCACTGTGACTATTGCCCAAAAGGCTAAATGAATCCACAGTCGTGAAATTACATGTTCAAGGTTCGAGTCGCCATTGAAGAGGATTTAAGAAGCTTTGCGACTCATATCAAAAAGCTGCAGGTCCAACTCTGTTAAATGGTTCTATAGCTGTGTTATAAAATGTGTGAGAGAAAGACAACAGCCACGCTCCGTGAATCTGATTGACTAGCCTGTTTTAGTCAACCCAATAACATCATGATTAACACAATAAAAAGCATATTTTTAAAAGTAATGCTTTCCCATTTAGCATATATTTGTTGAAGTGAATTAGATTAAGATAGATGATTTTGAGCATCAGGGCAGTGTACCTATGCAAAGCTGTAATCTGGTGATAAGAGCAGTTCAAATTCCATGTTGGTAAGCATCTTACTTAAAAGTATGGATTATAGTTATAGTTTTTGGTGATTATCGTCCTGGTAAAAACTCCTTTAACCTGCTTGGTGTCCGACCGCCTTATTGTTTGCCAATGTACATTGAGTTGACAGAGGAGGGTGCAGAAGCTGGTGAGAGAGAGAAAGAGGAGGGGTATGACATTTGGGGTTTTATGGATTTAAAATATAATAAATGGCTCCCCATGATTTCATAATACTAATACTGCTGAATCCAATGAGAATCAACACGACAAGTCAAAATGTTTTGACAAATCGAGGTCCCTGTGGTTTTTAAAGGCCTCAGATCATTTGTCCCTCAACTGTATCTTCTTTGGTTGATCAGAAAAGTTCTTTTAAAATCAGGTGAACTGAAACGTTCGATAGAGTTGTTAGCCTTTAGACTTTAAAGAAGGTGCCTTTGTGACCTTTTATCAGTGTTTCTCTCTCAGCTGCCTCACAGGCATACCAGGGGCCTATCTTTGAAGCACCAGAGCATACACAGAGTGAAGCACGTCTAATGATGAATAAAGTGAAGACACCAACTGAGAACACCAATGACCTCCAGGAATGTACAATTCTGAAATAAATGTGTTATTGGGTGAATAGAGGTGAAATGCTTTTAATGTTAGTTTGCATGAAGTTCTTGTGTCAAACTGAGGAGTTGGCAAAAACACAAAATATAACCCTGAGCACACTCCTGCTTGATTGAACCAGCTACATATTACATAGTACTTTATGGAAATGGGAAGAAGAAGTCAAAGAGCGGAGTAAGACAAGTTGAAAGAAACTCCACCACAGAGTGGGGGATTTACTACCATTAAATATCCCATTTCCTCGTGAGGAGTTGAGCTGGAAGCTTGCTTAAAAGATCTGAAAGCTGAAGAGGAAGTATTTGGGAGTTAGAGGAACTCAACTCTTCAAGGATATGCAGCTCTCTCTCTCTCTCCAGATTGGCTTGGGTTGCTTCATTTCCATGTTTTGCCAAAAGGGGTTTGCACCCACACATTCACGTATGATGTGGAGAAAGCAACCAAGATGAGACTCCTGCACGTTGCTCTCATGATTTTGTCTGCTCTGAGGAATGCTTTTACACAAAGGGCTGATGAGATGAAGGTTGATTATTAATTCTCTTCCCCTGCTAAATGTGTCGAGCCAGCCAAATGTCAGAGGATATTCTGTCAGAAGATATTGAGCTGACTGAAAATGTCAGACAGAGAGGAACGTTGAAAATGAGAACGAGGAGGAAAGAAAAGGAAAAAGCCAGTGCATGTGTTGGTCTCCGACGTGGTAGAGTACCTGTCATATTATAATAATGAGGGGTTGGGTTTGAACTTCTGTTTCCCATTAGTCATGACCTGTTTACTCTGGCATTAACTCCATGTCGAACGCCTTTATCCATCTTCACAAGAGAAGCAAACATTTGAAGACAATACAGTTGGCATCAACGTGAAGTAATCCTTTGGCGAGAAATCTAACACTATTCCAAGATTATCAACATCGTGACATTGTAATGACCCGCGTTCCCAAGGTAGGGAAACAGACTGATTAGCACAGTGAAACACAATCACAACTACATTAGATAACCTTTCTACCTTTTATGGGAGGAACCAGGAAGAGAAGCTAAGTATTAATCAAATATAACATTTAAAAGGAATAAATGGAAATGTCATTCAAAGTTTTCTGTTGAGGCCAAAACGTTCGTCACAATGATCACAGAGTAAGATGATGGAAGCAATTGCTTAGTACAACTGAAACATCTCACTTCTTATCATTGCTTGTCGTCTTTGTTACATTTGGGCACAACCATATGCTGCCTTAACCTACTGCTGGGACATTGTTAAGTCTTTTCACACTTCACAAACGGTATAAAACTTTTACCCAGAAAACTTTGCACTTACCCAAAGCCGTATAAAACTCCTCTTTTGTCAGGTGCTCGTCGTCGTTGACGTCGTTGTACTTGAGCAGATCGAACAATGTGCACTCGGAGATATCCTTGGACAGACCTTCTTGCTTGATAACCTTGGAGGACAAAGAATTGATGTTTTGTTAAAGACTGCAGGCAGCACTTCTTTTTCAACAGTGAGAACATGTTGAATATAAATGTATTTGGCAAGTCTCAAATACTGAACATCTTAAGTAAAATGTTCCCTGACAACATATTTTACGGCCTTAATATCTGATCTGCAATGTCATATCTGCTAGTAACAACTACAACAACCATTCAAGTTTTGAGAGCTATATTTAGGAACATGATTAGTTTGAAGGCAAGATTGTCACATGGTTTAATTTGGTGGACACTTTTGTATCTACTCATCAAGTATCAGATAACATAAAAACTAAGCATGCTTCAAAGTTTAATTAGAATGATTTGAATGTATTTCAAGGATACATATTTCTAATATTTGCATTGAGTGTCTGAACCCTGATGAAAACAGTTTTGTTGAAGTCTTCTTTAAATACTATTAAAGGTAACACATTATCCTCTGAAGAAGAGTAAAACCATGTAGTAGCATTAAAAGAAAATATACAATAAAGTAAACACTTAATACAAGTATATATTGTACATTAGAAAAAGTACTTAAAGTTTCCTAACTCTGTGTATTCTTAAAATCTACTGTTTACTTTGAAAAGTTTGGATACGCTCTCGGTATAAGTCAACGTTAGGTGCCCAATCTCACCGTGTTGAATGTCAAAGTTGATAAAACACAAACAGTATTTGCTGTCATCCAAACTGAAGCTTCGTCAAACCAGACGGAGACTAGGCCCCAAACATTGTGCAGATTTTATCCTCATCTTGCTAAAGCTTGGTCCCACTTATCCCCCTCCGCATGGCCCTGGCAGTGAAACATCCATCATATGAAATCAGCTGTCAAAATGCTGATCACAACAGACGGCTTTATACATCATGCATCGTCCGTCGGATCGCTGCACTTCCCTTCCCTGAGGACCGACCAAAATGTAGGGGTCACCTGTAATGGCATATCCTCCATGTATTCTCACAAATAACAGTGGTATACACAAGAGCTGTGTGTTTCTTTCGTACATGAATTATTAGCTGGTAAATGTTTTTTCCTCTATCTGTCTTCATAATATTCAGTTGATCCAACATTGAGTTAGTGGAAAGGAACACTTCAAATGCTCTGCAGATTCCTCAGGTATTGAAACTCTAAAATATTCTTGACTCCCTAGACCTTGCTTTGACTTAAAGTAATGTAGGTGGCCTTTGAGAGATTTGTAAGTGGTGTAGGAGTCGCATGCTTTGATGCTTAAACTCCATTTCTTAAATATTTCCTGACATGACATTAGTCCCCACACACAAACTTTAGATTAATGTTGGTAACTGCAGATATTTGCAATAACTTTCTTTCTGTGGCAAGCGATTATTCAACCACAGTAGGAGTAGCAAGGATATATTTCCCGGCATAAATCCGCCTCCTCGAGCGGAATAAAACTGAAACACATCAATGAAGCCTTTAACAAATGTAATGTTTATTGAGAATGCAAAACTAAGCATGATTTGCAAAGCCAATAGAGCATCGGCAGGTTAGTTGAATACAACACATGTCTAACACATACATTAGTATTGCTTCATAACATTGTATAGTCATTTGAGTGATACACAGCACTTAGTTGGCAGCATAAGCATGTACTATAGCCACAAGTGGGTGTACAGTATGTAATTACAAAAAAGAGGACTATTTCTATATAAAACCATTTGATTCTGAACCTGCATTGTTACTAAGCTTAATAATATAATTCTGTTCATTCTTTAAGATCAGTTGATATGATACAAATGTGTTTGTCTCTTGTCCTTTTTTACTCAAATTGAACAATACCCTAACAATTCAACAACATTTCAAAGTCATGCTTATCAAATGTATCCCATTTTACTGTAGAAAATGTCCCCTGTGTTAAACCTCTGCAAAATCCCACGCATGGTTAAGAGCATGTTGAAGGACGTTGGAGTGCACACCTCGTCTGTGGGTCACGTACATAGAGTTTTTTCAAATATTTTGCGCATTCATTACCATTTTTCTGGTCTAGACAAGGGCCATGATTACCACCGTAATTGCTCTGGTCAGGTGCTTAAAGTGTTGGGTGCACACTTATTTCATAATTAAAATCCAAATCTTTATCAAGATATGTGCAGATAATAATAAGGACAAACCAGCACTTTATTTTCAAAGCTGGTAGCCTTCTATTTTAAGTGTCTCTAATTGAAAAGTTTTAAAAAATAAATACTTCAAAAATAGGAAAATCAGATATGTGTGTATTACGATCTACATCATTATCCTCCTTGTTTTTAGAAACAGTTAGGATGGACACACCTCAGTCGCTAAAAGTTATCATTTCAGGCAGACCTTCGTTATGCAATGAAAGAAGAAAGAATACGTTTTGACATGCCATTTTAAAAGGGCACCCAAGAATCAAAGGGCAGGGACAATTGCTCCCTGTGCCCCTTCATGTGCACACTCTCGCAAGTCAAGTGAGCCAGGGTGAGACATTTACATCCCAGAATTTCAAATGTGAGAAAAAAACACTCCAATTATAAAAGGGCGCTTCAGGGCACGGGGGCAGCTGCCACGGTTTGATTCTTTGCACTGGTGATAAGAGTGTGATTTTCTTCGCAATGGTTCTTTTTTTAGGGTTTGTCCACAACATTTGATTTTGCATAAATACCCTTTCAACTTTTGTCAATAAGGCAAAACTCTGCAGTACTATGCAGATGTCCCTGACAATACAATCTAGGTGGATCTTTAGACATAGTGTATGATGTGTAAAACTCACATCCTCTGAAGAGGAATGAAAACTGCATGTCCTGAGCAATTAATTACTTTGAAATTACATTACGTGGGAACATTTTAATACACCAACAAAAAAACTCATTAAACACCCATTCCATAATTAAATCCAGGCGCCCTTATGTGGAGGCATTATCTAACCGCGTTTGTTTATTACCAACGTGTAACAGATTGATGAAGCTATTTTGCTTAGATATTAATCATGCAATAATTCATAATTTATAATGCAGTAATTTGGATGTGAGGTGAAAGCAAGCAGAAGCTCAATTTCTCCAACAATATTTAGGCTATAGATGTGTGTAAATAAAACCACAAAGCTTATACCCATAATCTTGATTTGAAAGCTAAAGAACATCATTGAAAAGTTTCTAACCCAGTGTTCCCAAACAGCTATGTGCACCTCAAAGTCTCAGAGGGCCATGAATGTATTCATGCGTGCAAAAACAACTTTGAGTCAGTTGGAAATCCTAAAAAGGGCCACATGCAATCTACTAATATTTAAATACTCACTTATCTTCCTCTCTCTGAGCATTTTTGTATGAAGTGTATGAAATCTGCCAACATTCCCATATGTGTCAAGGATAAAAAGGGGATGAGGGCTAAAAGCAGCCCTTGAGGAGCCCCCAGAAAAGAGATTCTCCATCTGGATGTTTAGTATTACTGACTAGCTCGTGTCTTTCAAACATCTCGGGAGAGCGACACAGCTTGGCATGCAGGAGAACGAGTGTAATATCCAAAAGCTTTTAAGGGCATATTCAAATTCACATTGAGGGCATATTGATAATATTATTCCATAAAACACAGCACAACATGGTTTGTTGACTTTGCATTTCATTCACTAAACATCGATTTCTGTCGTGCAGGCGCGGGGCACACAGTAAATGTAAAAACATGTAAAAATATGTAAATAATATGACAAGAATATCACTACTTTTGAAGTGCTATTTGGATGCTTTGAACCTAAAATACTGAAATATATTCAAATGAATCCAAGGAGAGCTCCCCTGTTGAGCAAGATGAGGGCACTGACAGAGCTAAGCAAGGTGACCCCCGTGCAGATGGGAGATCCTACTGGATCAGCAGGAACCTGACCTCAGGACAGGAAGTGGTTTCATGTTTCTGAAAACCACTGTAGGTTGCTTACACTTTCAATTATTTAAATACTTTCTGCATTAAGTCAGTCCTCAGGTACTGGGGGATGTTATTTGTTATGCAGAGAATCTTCCTTCCTTGTGGCAGACACAAAAGACTCTTTCTAACCGTCCCTCCTGGTCAAAAGGCTGCAGCCTCCCGTGAGCACAAGGCTCATTTTACCCACATTGCTTTTCAAAAGATTTACCTAGAGCGGCGCACCACTGCGACCAGAGGGAAGGGTAAGAGGAGTAAAATGGACACAATTATGGCAGGCATCAAAGCTGCTTGTTTAAACACCGGAGCACACAGATGTTTGGTTCTTTTGTGTTCTCCATTTGGAGGGATGTTAAATTATAAATGAAATGTGGTTTTGACAGACTATAGAGGGGCTGTGTAGTGTTAGTAACCCTAACCCCTAACCCTAAGTTTCTATTTGGGGGACACAATTAAATTAAAAGGTCTCCTGTGAATAAATAATACATTTGAAAATCTCATAAGATCAGCTCTAGTTATTGTATATTAACTTAATGCCATTAATTGTCTGAGTACTATTTTAACTTTCTTTTTTTTTAAACAAATAGGTATTGTCTTTTAAAGCTAAGGTAGTTAAGGTAATTGAGAAAAATGTTGGCCTATTTGTAATACTCTTTATTATACATCCAATCATGTTACTAAAAGCTCTGTTTAAGTTGTGGCTTGCAAGCTGTCAGGGTTGCCAATTGTGCGTTTTTAACAGCTACTTTCTTTGCAATAGAGTTGGCACATGTTGGGCTGGAGAAAAAAGGAACTAGCTCACTCTTGCTGGCTTCTACCTAGCCAAGCTTTAAGCTCTTCTTTTGTTTGATAGCCTTACCTGTGAGAGCTCGCTGGCATCGATTTGACCATTGTTATCTGCATCAAAACGTTTGAACATCAGATCAACCAGGTGCTTCCTGGCTGCCATGTTGTCCTTGTGGGCCCCGTGGATGTTAGACATGTATCGCTTGTCATGCAAATCCAAGATCTTGGTTTTCAGTCGACGGTATTCACTCAGTCTGCAGTTGTCATCTGGAAAAGACAAAGAGGGAGGCAACATGGTTAGAAGAGACAGAATATTCGTTACATACATTTAAAACAAGAACTGTTAAAGCTGAGAGTGAAGTTTGTTGTTTTTTTGTTTGTATAATTAAAAATGTCTGTATTTTGTCAGGATGCATACAAACAGATATGTTATGAATATGTAAATAACTCCCATGTGCTGAAAAAGCATTGAACTTGTGATTTCTAGAATTGGATGCAATGTTTCAAATGTCAGCCAATTAGTACCTTTGAATACCAGAATCCCCTTGAAGACGTATATGACTCAACAATAAGCTGCTGTTTGTATTCAGCAAAAGCTAAATCTGAGCTTGTCTATGATTGTATGAATCACAATGACAAATGCTAAGGATTATTTTCCTGAGGGTAGCACAAACAGTGACAGTCGTGCAGCATTTCTCTGCTTAAAAACTAAGAGAGCAGCACCACAAAGAAACGGATGAACAGATCCATCACCGGGTGTCAAGAGCTAACCCTGACAGCAACAGAAAACATGATGGCCTTGTATTTACAATCCGCCATCAAAGGCTGCAGATAAAATAAGTCAACTACAAGAAAGGTTCAGCGGGGTAGAGTCGAGGTGAAGAGAAAATAATGACTAGAACCACAGGTTGACACATGTCACATCAAGTTTGCATCGTTAGATCTGGAAGTGTTTCTCCTCTAATAACGGTTGTATTAGCTGATGTCAACCAACCCACAAGAAAAGCTTTGTTGTTCACCGAGATGCTTCTCAGATCCCAGAGGAGGAAGGTGACATTACTGCCACTTCCTACGTACCTATTCGGGGAAATAAGAAATAATAACTGCTGTATGGAGTCTTCTGCAAGACTAATGAACTTTTGTGTGGGGTGATCAGGGGAGATGGGTTTAGTGAGAGCGGTAATGAGATCTTCACAAAGTAGAACTACAGTAGGAGCTGACTGAGAGCTGATGACTAGTTAGGAAGAATCAGAATGACCCTAGAGACGAATCACGTCATTATCTGCCGGGTAGGATCTCATTTTCGCCATACAAATGTCTTTCCTTATTCCTTCAGTGAAACAACTTGAGAAATCAGCGTGCTTTTAAATGAGACTTAATCTTGGTGGTAACCATCACTGGGGTTTCAGAGGCTGATAGAAGTTCTCCTATCATTGTGTCAGTAAAATCAATGGGGTTCCACAGAGGCTATTTCCAGCCATTTTCTTTTTCATTTCTATTCTGTGTGACCTTGTCAAGTCCAAAGGTGTAAAAACGCCATTCACTGGTATTGAAATATGTATTATTGTGGCCAAAACAGGTGTGATATACAGCAGCTATGAGCCCTTCTTTGAAGCTGAAGATAGTATTGAAAGCATTTGTGGATCTTTTCATATTCTACCACACATAGACAAAGACCTCACTGTATATTAAAACTGATTTGAGATGAGTTAGCAAGCTTTCTCTGTTCTGCAAGGTCAATAGCAATTTTGAAGAGGGCAAGCGCAGAAATAGTGCCAAACGCTTTAAGTTACAGTTGGGTGAAATACAAAGTAAAAAACCTGAGTAAAAGAGTTGAAACACGGTGAATGCAAATGACTTGACACGCGAGGGCTCGCTGAATGGTTTGATGATTTTGAAAATGATGTGAATCATTTGCCATGGCCTTTTGCAATCACCGGCGTTCAATCCAGTTTATACCCTTGGGAAATGTTCACTGACAATGCTCTCTGCTATCATTATCAAATGAGGGAATTTGTTTTGGAGAAAAAGTGGTAATTCTGGAGTACGTATAGTAAAGCCAAGGAGCATTGGAGCTGGTCTGGGGGCTTATGGTGGCCCAACAGCTTATTTGGGTACTTTGGTATGGGCCTTTTTTATGTTTTTTATAAAACAAGTTGTTTCTGGGCTGTTGAAATGATGCTGAAAATGGAAATCACATCTTGTTATGCTTTGTTTTCTAAAAGCGACTTGGTAAACTGATTAATTGAAAGCTCACATAGCCAGGTGGAGAGTATTAAACATAAGCAAGGAGCCCAGAATATTTCCTCCGTTAGTTTTTGCGGGTACACCTGTCATTGAGACCCATACTGAGTTGCTGACAGGTGTTGGAGCTGCATGCTCAGTCTGAAGCTTCATGGAACTAGCAGTGTGAACAACAACAGTGGTGACTGGTGAGCTTGTCTTTTCCATGAGCGACTGCAGCAAACTGATAATAGGAGGATGTACTAAATCATACAATTATATTTTGACTGCAAGAGTGTCTAGTGAAATCTTAGGAATGGCATGAGCAAGTCTAAATTGTCATCAGCTGTTATAGCGCAGGCCGTTCACACTGCAGCATATCATGGGACGGGGTCTGTTTTGACAAGCGTCAGTGCCAGAGAAGCTGCCTTGGTCACAAATGGCAGAATGAATAAAAGATAAATGGCTGCTGGCATAACCAGGGGAGATGAAGGTCAGCGGCGCACACACACACACTTACACACACAAGTACACCAATACGCTTGCACTTCGCACACACATGCTCTTAAATACAGTCCCCCAGCCCCACTGCATCTGAACAGTACATGTCCACACAGGGGAGTAGCAGCATTAATTAAACAGTGGCTTAAATAATTTCTCTCAAATTTAACTAAACCAAAAATGTCCTTAGTCCAAGCAGGCATTTAGGGGAAAAGTCAGTAAGCTTTCGAGCAGCCTGCCTACATTCATCACTTTAGAAAAACGATGTCAGTTGATTTTATCGAGGATGCTTTTTGACAAGCTAGGGCTGCAATCGTAATGTTGATTGATTGTCAGTCTGTCAAGATGCCAAGATTTAAACCTCAAATTAACTCTGTCAAATCATCTGCTTTTTCCTGCTGTGTCATTGTGCAGACAGCAACAGACACATGATGGTAGGCTGCAAACATCTATCAAACATGTCTCTGGGAATCACCAGTAAACCACTATCAGGACTAAAATGATGTTTTTTTATCTTTCTTATGCAATGGATGTTTTGAATGTTTGGTATTTTAAGAAGCAGAAAAAAGTGTGGCAGCTGTACAGTATGTAACTAGAAGTGTTTGTCTCTTGCATGTCATGACACCTCATCTGTCTCCTGGCACACAGATTTAGCCCACATGAAGGACAAGTGTGATTTTGGCAGGAGTTGAGAAATATCATGTTGTGTTTTCATACACATTCACTTCTTACAAGCTGCTTTAAAAAAAGTCCAGTCCTACTTCATTTAGCCACAACCTGAAGAAGAATGGCTGATATTGAAATGTATTTGTGTCTGTGTGTAGTTGTAGTTTTCCCTAAAGGCTATAAAGACGTGAGGTGGATTTTCATTCAATCATCGACAGTCTCCAATTTGTGTGTGTTGAATTACGGTAGCTTAATTACCGAATATGACCCAATCTTTCCTTCTCCCCAAAGCAATCGTAGAATGTTCCTTTCAGTCATCCGCTCCTTTTGTAATACATACTAATGACAACTCGGCTCTTTTATGCAACATCCAATTACAAGCTGTAAACACCATTGGAGACGAAGTAACAGTGTTGTAATAGAACCATCAACTGTAAGACTCCCACAGGAACACTTGAGTATAATGCTGCTTTTGTCAACATTATTCATGGGTAAAATGACATTTTCCAGGGACGAAATGTTCAGTAGAAAGGAGCTGAAACTGAATTTGGTAGTTTAGTTTGAATATGAAATTACTTACAGGAGCTTGTAGACTTCATAGTTCACCTTCGTCTTCACAGTTTAGAACATCTTTGGAATAGTACATTTTAAAACTATCTTTAGGACAAAGCGTATGTTGCTATTTTCACAGGTTAAAGCACGTGAAGGACACAGACGTGTTGTTTGCCTTTGACTGCTCAGTGACCTTGCTTGTGACAAATGTCTGTGGTCACATAGGCTCCATGTGGCAAGCGGCCGGCCAGGTTCCACTGTGCAAAACAATCGCCTCCTATTAATTGCCTTGAACTGTTCATTTAATGTGGAGGTCAAGTCCCAACCTGGATAGACATAAAAGTCAGAGTGAAAGGACTTGTATGCGCTTTGCAGATTGTTAGCAAACCATATATCTGATTCAAGCCATTTGTCAAAATAGCAATACAGTAGCAGCAGGCTGCTCTGCTGTAAGTAAAGAGCGTTGCTATATAAATGCAAAGCCAAGAGTTAATAGCTACTGTCGCCAACACTCACTTTTATTGATATGCTTGTTTACTTACTTTAGCTTGGACTAAATGTGGCTTGACTCAGTTTTTCACCGTTTAGAAGTGACTTAACCCTTATGTTGTGTTCGGGTCTCCCGTGACCCGTTTCAAGTTAAAATTATATAATAACTACACTCTAGTTTTTTGTATCTGAACAAGCTTCATGATATCCTCCACAACAGCTATATAAACACTACAAAACTGATTTTGACAATTTTTGCCAAGTCTGAAGGTCTCTAAATAAAAAAGTGTATAATTTGGTGTTCAAGTCTGGGGAGACCCAGCAGCATTGTTGTGGGCGATTCAAGGTCAAATTTGGCCCAATCAAGATTGATCTTTGACTTTAGACTGTGTGTTTATAGGTCAAGAAGAGATGTAGTACTGCATCGAAATGTGTGGGATAGAAAAAAGACGATAGCGTTGATTCTGCTGAGTCTACCTTTTTTGTTCAAACAGTCCATCAGGAGTCTGACAATGTTATAGCACTGCAATGTTATATCAGGGAAGTACTCTTTTTAAATACCACTGATACAAGCTACAAACAGTCCCATGACTAGTGAAAGCCCATAGGTTGAATTTGAGACTGTTCATGAAGTATAATAACATGATTAGAATAAACCAACTAGGTCAATCCAGATACTTCTGATATAATGTGTAATCCCACAGGTTCATTTGTAGCGTTTTATATTTGGTTTTGTGTTCACTTGACGGAGAAATATAGCCCTTAAATAACCCTGGAACCCTTTTAAAACAAGGAAAGAGATCATGGCATGCAAACCAGAACATGATGTCATTCTC